ACCCAACGTCGGCCAAGCTTTAGCTGTCGGACAGATGGCCTCACATTTGACTCTAGAATACTTTGGTATACAGAAGAGTTCGTGGTCGACTCAATGACTGCAAGGTGCCCAGGTCCAGGGGAATTCTGGGAGTTGAAGTCCACCCATCTTAAAGTTGCCAAGTTTGAGAAACACTGATCTAGGCCTAATTCAACTGTATTTCAAATCCAGTTGTGGCTGAGAAGAATTTAGCAACTTTCATAGAAATGTCAATAGATTGATCTGCTAGAGGGGAGTGCAAAATGTGCATTTCAGCCCAATCTCTGTGTTCTGAAGATCCAGTGCCCACCACCAAGTGCCAAATGAATTCACTTTCTCCCTAAATCATATTTTATATTTCTCAAAAGCTGGACCCATTGATTTCATTAGAATTCACCAGAAAATGGTTGTTCTAGGTTTACTGGATTCCTCAAGAAACTTGAGAACTCTCTAACCATGTGATTTGGTCACGTCCATCTACAGCTCCTTTTCGTTTTCCAGTCATCACACATATCGATAAAATATTGATAAAAACTTGGGGGGAAATATAGTAATTAAAGATGTAAAGGTGATGCTGAATTCCACTCTAAAAATATGGATTTTGACATTTTATGAAGGGCGCTTGCTCTGTTGAACCTGGGGCTTGGCAAAGAGAGAACACCCTTGCTTGGATCACCCCGTTGACAAATTTCTCATAAACATGTCTCGCATGCAATGGACCTAAAATGGTTAAATCAGTGGAAATGAGCGGGGTTAGACTTCTGACCTTATTCCAGGATTGTTACAGACTGACCCCACTCTTTCGCTTCTGTTAAGTAAGAGGCAATGTTGATGGATCAAGTTTCCAACCTTGGGGTCTCATTCAGAATTTGATTTTAGGAGTCCCTCGGGAATCAAATCCCCTCCCCACCCCCTTCATTCTTCCCCATTTTCAGCTGTGTAATAATTTATTTGATTTGTACAGCCACTCATCTCAGATACATGACTCTGGACAGCTAACGATGAATAAAAACATCATAGCAAAATAATCAGTCACATATACAGTACAGCAGCCAATCAATCTAACCATGGTTCGGGCTCAGCCACCCTTGCAAAACTCCAAAGTGTTGCCAAGGTGCCAGGGTGCCAGGCATTGTGAAGATCTGCAGCTGCCACGTGGACCTGATTCACTGTTACTTTAAGTAGCTCGTGGAAGGGTTTAACCCCTTATTCACCCAGGATCAAACTCTGCAAAAATTGGAATAAATTTGAGAGCTGAGTTTGTGACCTTCTTCACTGAAAGAAGGCACCGAGAGACAGGAGTCAAATCTGTTATTTTTAAAGAACATCCTGAGAATATCTGTTATACTCAAGAGCCTTACGCTGACTTACTTTTGGATCGTACAAAAGAATGAATTTATTTCTCTGAAATGTAATGTCATAGGAGTGAAAATGAAAATAATTAGTCAAGTGTATTTTTTTTTCTTTTAAAGCATTTTGAAAGTTACTTAAGAAAAAATAATTCTGGTGTATTTGTGAAAGGATACAGCCTAAATTCACCAATGAATTTAAATTTAATTCAATGGGGGTGCCTGGCGCCCTGATGACACTCCCCGAGCTGTTCGCCAATTTTGTCATCTCTTGGAATCTATTTATTAATCATTTAAGATTGTTTTATATTGTATTTTAATGGATTTTATCTCTTCTGTAAACCACCCAGAGTCGCTTTATAATGAGATGGGCGGTGACAAATTTGATAATATAAATATAAATAAACAAATGAAATGGGGGCATTTTTAAAGTCCCATCAATGTTGTCATACAAAGCCTGGTTTGTTTGATATAATTTATAAAAGGGTGTTTAACTTGGTGGGATGCGATTCCACTCATTGTGGTAACAATAAGTCACCATTAAACAAACTCTGACTTAATACTTTGAACCCATCTGCTGTCTAAAATCGCCATCCTGTAGTACTCTGAAATCAAACCTCCACAAAATCTATGTGGCCTTGCTGACCATGCACTTTTATGGTTTGCAGTACAGGGCAGATTAATTAAAACTGTTGCATTTAGGAATTTATTATTGGATGCTTTTCAAATACCTGATATGGAACTTAAGACGCCTTGTAAAACCGAAAGGTTTAATGTCATCAGAAAAGCACCAAATAACTGAAACTCGCGACGGACTAGCATCTTTCCACGAATTTTGGCTACTTGCCTTCCCCGCCTTTCCATCATTTACCCACCCGAACTCGAGAGACGCGTCTTAGGCTCAACCAATCAGAGCCATCCCTTCTCCTCTCCCTCGTCTAGATTGGGGAAAGCAAAAGAGGCGGAAGCCAACACAGCCCCGCCCATTCAGCCTCAAACCACGCCCATTCCAGGCCGCGTCCCCGTGCATCGAGCGCGCTAGGTCCGCTGTTTCGCTCTGTCTGGGCTGGTTGGTGCTGCTGGACCGCCCCCTTGCCTCCCGCTTAAACCCCGCCCTCCACGGCAGGCTCTGCTTTGAGCGGTATCTTTTCAGCTTTTTGATCCTCGCTGTCCACTCCAGGTCCCGCCCCTTCTTAGGGCCACGCCCCCTCGGTATAAATACTCGGCGTCCCGAAAGCGGTACCTCAGTCGCGCTCGGCCGGGGGGAGAGGAGTTTGGGCGCAAGAGAGAGAGCAAGCTCGGCAGGACGCGGCAGGCGCGAACGGCTCTGGTCCTCCCGACCGAGCGCCCGGAGAGGGAGCCGAGCCAAGCCTGGTAAGGGGCGTCCCGTGAGGGTGATCGGCATGGCGCTTTCGGTGCCGGTCAACGGCATGAAGGAGGATGGCGGCGGCAAGGAGCCCCTCATCGAGCTCTTCGTCAAGGTAAACCCGCTCCTCGTTGAGGGCATCGGCTTGTCCCGTCTTCCCGTCACGGGGGTCACCCTCCTTCCTCTCCCCGCCTCCCGGAGGGCTTCGGCTGGAGGCCTCCCCTTCCGCGGCGGCGGAAGATGGGCGTTGTAGTTCTACGCCTGGGGAGGGGGCTTGCTTGGGCGACCCCACCCTCAGGCCCTC